GATTCTGTGTCTCCCTCTCTCTCTGCCCCTCCCCCGTTCATGCTCTGTCTCTCTCTGTCCCAAAAAATAAATAAACGTTGAAGAATCTTGCCCAAGATCTTTCAGCTTTTCTATCAAGCTGTCCCTCACTGTTGAGATGCCAGCGGATTCCTAGGGTTCCCATGATCCTTGCCTCATCCGTGTGTGTTTTCCTTTTTCTATAAAGCATGGGGAACCCCGGGTCATGTTGAGTGGGAGAGCAGTTGCTTGAGAGCATGGGACACTCACAGCATGAGCACTGTCACTAAAGAGCAGGTGCTGGGGCAGAGTTCCTCTACAGCTATGATAAGGGGGTGACCCCCAAAGCTCTCCATCGGGACGAATCTGAATTTGAATGCCAGCTCTATCACCTGGGGGACTCTGGACAAGCTGCTCATCCTTTCTGAGCCTTACTTTCTCAGCTGGAATGTGAGGTTAGTGCTGTCTGCCTCTCAGCACTGTAGTTAAGGACTAGAGAGAACATAGAGGAAAATTCTTCATTCCCCTTCCTCCATGTTCCTACCATGCACAGCACTTCTGCTTTGCCAGAGCAGGCCCAGGCCTGCCCTTGTTTCTGAGTCAGTGCTGATCCGCTTTACCAGTTTAAGCCTGTCCGGATGTGGTCCTGACATCATGCCTGGGTCCTACTGTACCCGATTTTTCCTCTGATGTGCTGAGCCCAACTCCCCAATCCTTCTCATCTCTGGCCCAAGTGCTGGCTGGGGTCTAGCGAGCTGAATGAGCTGGACTTGCTCCTGCTGCTTGACTGGACACACATACCCACCTTCAACCTGGACCATGTCCAAAATGTCAATATCCTTTGGATAGCATTGAATGCCACTGTAGAGCTGGCCTTCACAAGTGGGTAGGGTCATCCTACTCGGTAATTTTTATAATATTCTGAGCAATTACCAGGCCCTGCAAAAAAATAGGCATGGTCCAGGCAGTTAACCTAAGTGCTTTACATATATCATCTCATTTAATCCTTATGTAATCCTGGAAAGTAGGTACTATGAATATCTGCATTTTGAAAATAAGGAAACTGAAGCTTAGGAAGGTTAAGGGTCTTTCTCCAGTGACACAGCTAATAAGAGGGAAAGCCAGGCCCAGAATCCCGAGCCAGGGCTCAAAGCCATTATACCATGTTCCTTTCCATCCTACCTGTCAACCCTCTGCTGCTTCTTCCTTTTCCGGGTGTTTGATGCACTCCACGGCAGCAGGTGCCCCCTCCCCCCTTTTTTTAATGTTTATTTTTGAGAGAGAGAAAGACAGAGTGTGAGTGGGGGAGGGGCACAGAAAGGGAGGCACAGAATCCAGAGCAGGCTTCAGGCTCCGAGCTGCCAGCACAGAGCCCGAGGCGGGGCTCAAACCCATGAAGTGTAAGATCGTGACCAGAGTGAAGTCAGGCACTTAACCGACTGAGCCACCCAGCTGCTCCAGCAGGTGCCCTTTTTATTGCAGTACCTCTTACATTGTAGTCACTTGTCTCTATCTCTCATTAAATGGGGAGATCTGGGCCATACTTTATTTACCCCTGTGCTTGAGTGCTTTGCACAGTACCTGGCACAGAGTAAGAACTTCAAGATGTTTGTTGACAGACTGGAAGTCCTAACCTCAGCAATCAGGCAACCAAAAGAAATAAAAGGCAAGGAAGAATGATTGGCAAAGGAAGATCATTGGCAAGGAAGAAATCAAACTTTCACTCTTCGCAGACGACATGATATTCTATGTGGAAAACCTGAAAGACTCCACAAAAAAACTGCGAGGATTGATATGTGAATTCAGAAAAGTCGCAGGATATAAAATCAATGTCTACAAATCAGTTGCATTTCTATACACCAATAATGAAGCAGCAGAAAGAGAAATCAAGGAATAGATCCCATTTACAATTGCACCAAAAATCATAAAATAACTAGGAATAAACCTAACCAGAGGTGAAAGATCTATATGCTGAAAACTAAGAAAGCTTATGAAAGAAACTGAAAAAGACATAAAGAAATGGAAAAACATTCCCTGTTCATGGACAGGAAGAACAAATATTGTTAAAATGTTGATAGTCCCCAAAGCAATCTACACATTCAATGCAATCCCTTTCAAAATACCAGCAGCATTCTTTGCAGAGCTAGAACAAACAATTCTAAAATGTGTATGGAACCAGAAAAGACCCTGTACAATCAAAGAAATGTTGAAGAAGGAAAGCAAAGTGGGAGGCATCACAATTCTGGACTTCAAGCCATATTACAAAGCTGTAATCATTAAGACAGTATGATACTGGCACAAAAACAAACACATAGATCAATGAAAAGAATAGAGAACCCAGAAATGCACCCACAAATGTATGGCCAACTAATCTTTGGCAAAGCAGGAAAAAAATATCCAGTGGAAAAAAAGACAGTCTCTTTAGCAAAATGGTGTTGGGAAAACTGGACAGAGACATGGAGAAGAATGAACCTGGACCACTTTCTTACACCATACACAAAAATAAACTCAAAATGGATGAAAGACCTAAATGTTGAACAGGAAACCATCACAATCCTAGAGGAGAAAATAGGCAACAACCTCTTTAACCGCAGCCACAGGAACTTCTTACTAGACATGTCTCGGAAGGCAAGGAAAACAAAAGCAAAAACAAACTATTGGGACCTCATCAAGATAAAAGCATCTGCACAGTGAAGGGAACAATCAACAAAATTAAAAGGCCACTGATGGAATGGAGAAGATACTTGCAAATGGCATATCAGATAAAGAGTTAGTATCCAAAGTCTAGAAAGAACTTACCAAACTCAATAGCCAAAAAACAAATAACCCAGTGAAGAAATGGGTAGAAGGCATGAATAGACATTTTGCCAAAGAAGACACCCAGATGGCTCACAGACAGAAAATGCTCAACATCACTCATCATCAGGGAAATACAAATCAAACCATGAGACATCCCCTCACACCTGTCAGAATGGCTAAAATGAACAACTTAGGAAACAGCAGATGTTGGCGAGGATGTGGAGAAAGGGGAATTCTTTTGCCTTGCTGGTGGGAATGCAAACTGGTGCAGCCACTCTGGAAAACAGTATGGAGGTTCCTCAAAAAAATTAAAAATAGAGCTACCCTATGACCCAGAAATTGCACTACTAGGTATTTATCCAAAAGATACAAAGATGCTAATTCAAAGGGGCACATGTCCCTGTAAACAATCTTTAGAGCAGCACTGTCAACAATAGCCAAATTGTGGAAAGAGCCCAATATCCATCGACTGACGGAATGGATAAAGATGTGGTATACATATACAATGGAGTATTACTTGGTGATCAAACCCTGCCATTTGCAACAACATGGGTGGAACTAGAATGTATTATGCTAAAAGAAATGAGTCAGTCAGACAAAGACAGATATCATATGATTTCACTCACATGTGGAATTTAAGAAACACAACAGATGAACATAAGGGAAGGGAAGGAAAAATAAGATAAAAACAGAGAGGGAGGCAAACCATAAGAGACTCTTAAATACAGAGAACAAACTGAGGGTTGCTGGAAGGGAGGTGGGTGGGTGGATGAGCTAAAATGGATGATGGGTATTAAGGAGGGCACTTGTTGGGATGAGCACTGGGTGTTACATGAAAGTGATGAATCACTAAATTCTACTCCTGAAACCATTATTACACTGCGTGTCAACTAACTTGGATTTAAATTAAAAAAAAATAAAATGATGTTTATGGACTGACCTGTAGTGACTTTTCTTCCCTACCTGCTGAAGTCTACGTGTCCTCTATCCAAACTCATCTGAATTATGGCGGCTCTAGAGCCAACATTAGTGGTTACTCTTGGGTCTGGAATGTTGTGTGTGAGTGTGTATACGTACAAATGTGTATGTCTATGTGTGTTTATGCATGTGTTATGGTATCAACCTTCTTTTTTTTTTTTCTTCAAATACTTGTCTCCATTGAAAGCTTTTATAGTCTTTATGTTTTTTTTTAGTTTCCTTTAATCTGGAAACTTTACACAGCCTTTCTTTGTCTTTATGACACAGGCATTTTTGAAGAATATAGTCCATTAAAAAATAGAATGCTGCCCATTTTGGGTTTGTCTGATGTTTTTTTTATGATTAGATTCAGGCTATGCATTCCCAGCCAGACTGATGCTGTGACCTCAGGCTAGCACATCTAGAGGCACGTGATGTCCATCTACCCATATGAAGTTCATTTTCATCCCCCAATCAAGATGCTGTCCCATTTCTTCCCTGTGTAGTTAATGTTGTTTCTCCTCTTGTAAGTACTAAACAATCTGGGAGGAGACATTTTAAGACCACGCATACATCCTGCCACTTGTTAAAATTCCCTCCTGGATCCACTGATGATTCCTACCAGTACCTATTTTTAACATGGTAATTGCAAGATGAGGATTCTGTCATTAAATGCAGTATCTGACTCTAGATTGGATCCTACACAGGAGGGGCGGGGGGGATGCCATAAAGGACACTGAGTTGTTGACAAAATTGGAATATGAGTGAAAATTAAATAAAAGTGCTATATAAAAAGTCTAAGGAAATTCACTCTCAAATGACTCAAAAATTCACGTGTGTGTATGTACATATACATGTATAAATATGTGTGTGGAAAGAACGTACAATTGGTAAAGCCAATGGGGTGAATATATTAGAGGTAAAAGATGCATGGGTGTTCCTTGCATAATTCCTATTCTTGCAACTTTTCTGTAAGTTTGAAATTATTTCCAAATAAGACGTTAATAATAGGCTTTCAGCCACTCTATAAAATAAACATTAGCTGTCATACCTAAAGCAATGCAAGTCTTTCATTTGATGGCTGACAGTGACTCAACCAGTGCGAGCTTTCCCTGGGCTGAATGGGCTCCAAGGTCTCGTCCCATGGGAGACCCTATAACCTTATGGAAAACTTCTGTCTTTATCGTAGTGTCTGCACAAACTGCTAACTACATCATGGTGGTATTTTGGGATGGAAGACTCTAGTTCTGGTTGCACACGTCTCGGTTGCCTTTATTAAGAGACGATACAGAAATGATAGAGTGATACCAAAAGGGTCTTGAATATAAGACAGAAATCCCTGATGCAGTGATGCAGAACCTTCTGGCACTGGCATCTGCACGCTCTGCTCAGTCTCCTTTCATGATTGCTGCATATTCCTTCTGGTGTTCAACCAGCCTCAGGAATACTTGGTATTTCTTGTCATAGTATCTGTGGGAGAAAAATGAATATGCTGAATGATCTCAGACACAACCGCGATGCAGCTTCCCCTTATATTCAGAAGAACAGGAATATATCCCTTATGGTCATGCAGACGTCTCCCATTTTGTGAATGCTTCTAGCATCCTGAGCAATGGATCAGCATGATTCATCGCTATTATCCCTAACCTACGTGGGGTGTTATTATCCTCATTGTAGAAGGGAAGACATTTGCTCAGAGAGGCGTATCTAAAGTAGGACAGCTAAAGACTGGCGAGGCTGGAATGCAGACTGAGGTCTGTCTGACTTCACAGCCTCCACTATAACATACTAAGAGGCTTAGGCTCAACATAGGCCCCTTCTCACTCCCAGCTTTCATAAATATTTCATTTATGACTAGCCCCAGGTTTGATGACTGGTTTAAAAACCACAGCCCGAAAAGAGAAGAGACTGAACATTTTCATCACCCTTTGTGGATTCCACACCTACATTTCCTTTGCAGACTGCTTTATCTGGGAGTACAATCCTGTGAAAATGTCACTAAGGCCTTCCCTCTAGTTGTGCCCTGCCGTCCAGGCATCCCTGGGTGGATCTTGCCCTCCCATCCTCCTCTCCATCTGGGTCCTGGTAGACTTGTTATCCCTGGACCTGTTAGAATGTGGTGTTGGCCACAAGGCAGCCTTATTTTGAAAGGGATAATAGCAGCTAAGACAAATTATACTTGAACACTTGTAACTTTGTCCTTACTCCTCTTGGTTGGGAGGGGCTGACATGAGGTGGGGTTGACATGGAATTGAGGAAACCAACTTCCTTCCAGAGGACTTCTTTCCTGAGAACTCCTTCCAGAAGAGTTCTTTCCAGAACATTCCAGGATCTACCAAGCCATGTGTGACCCTGGGTAAGTTCCTTAATCAATTTGTGTCTAAATTTCTTTATCTGTAAATGGGAATAATTATAGAATCTACCTCAATAGAGCTGTTAGGTGAATTAAATGAGGCAATGAATGAAAAACACTGAGAATAGTGTCCGGATCTTAGGGTTATCAGTGCCAATTATGGTTACTACATTAAAAAAAATTAATATTCCAACATTATCAATACTCTTGCACTAAGTAGATTCTACTAAAACCCATTCTATGAGCCTCGAAATTTATTAATCATAGAATGATTTTGGGGACAGAAGTTTTCTCCTTCTAACAATACTCTATGACAATTTACCATTAAATACTTCTTATATTATATGAGATGGATATCTCCATTCTGGAATATCAAACCTGTTTGAAGGGAGTTTGGGTCAATAACCTTCTCATATACTTGAAGATTTTCAATTTTTATTTTTTATTTTGTTTTTTAAATATTTATTTTTGAGAGAGAGTCTGAGCAGGGGAGGGGCAGAGAGAGAGAGGGGGACAGAGGATCCCACGTGGGCTCTGCACCGACAGCAGAGAGCCCGACGTGGGGTTCAAACTCATGAACCATGAGATCATTACCTGAGCCAAAGTCGGACACTTAACCAACTGAACCACCCAGGTGCCCTGAAGATTTTCAATTTTAATCCTGACAACTTTGCAGCAACTTTGTTCATTGGTCTTATTCTTTGCCCAGTGGAAGAATTATTGGCTTCACAGGCAGAGAAGTCTGGGTGACTTTGGGCAACTTTAAAAAAATTTTTTTCTTTTTGTTATTTTAGAGAGAGAGAAAAAGAGCGTGAGCGGGGAAAGGGGCAGAGAGAAAGAGAGAGAGAATCTTAAGCAAACTCCAGGCTCAGTGCAGAGCCTGATGTAGGGCTTGATCCCATGACCCTGGGATCATGACCTGAGCCAAAATTAAGAGTCAGACACTCAGCCAACCAAGCCACCCAGGTGCCCCTGGACAACTTCTTTAAATGGTGTCTCCGTTTCCCTGCCGTAAGAGGGATGATAGCCGTACCTCCGTCACAGATTGACTGAATTTTAGACATGAAATATTCTGTGAGCTGTCAAGTGTTCACAAGTAGGGATTAATGTTGTTCTTATATCCTTCCATTATCCTGGAACACCAAAAGATGGATAGACTATATTTTTCCTTTTTTTACACATGGGAAGCTGAGGTCCAAGGCACATTTTCCCCCCGTGCTTTTTCCTTTTCTCAAAAAATGTTTTATTGTAAAATACACATAACATGAAATTTAGCCATTTTTAAGTATACACCGCAGTGGCATTAAATACACTCACACTGCTGTGCAACCATCACCATTCCATCCACAGCTCTGTCTTCAGCTTGCAAAATTAAAACTCTGTGCCCATGAAACACCAACTCCTCCTTCTCCCCCTTCCTGCAGCCCATGGCAACCACCATTCCACTTTCTCTATGAATTTGACTCTATGTACTTCATATAAGTGCAACCCTATAATATTTGTCCTTTTGTGACTGGCTTTTTTCACTTAGCATCATGCCCTCAAGGTTCATCCATGTTGTGACCCTGGGTAAGTTGTTTAATCCATTTGTGTCTAAATTTCTTTATCTGTAAGTGGGACTGACACATGTTGTGGCATGTGTCAAAATGTCCTTCCTTTTTAGGGCTGAATAATATTCCACTGTATGTATGTACTTTTCTTTAGCCATTCACCCGCCACTGGCTACATGGATTGCTTCCGCATTTTAGCCACTGTGAACAATGCTGCTATGAGCATGTGAGTAGAAATTTCTGTTTGAGATGCTGATTTCAGTCCTTTTGGGTACATACCCAGAAGTGGAATTTCTGGATCATATGGTAATTCTATTTTTAGCTTTTGAGGAACCACCACAGTGGCTGCATCGTGTCATGCTTCTCCCAATGGTGTACAAGGGATCCAATTTCTCCGTATCCTTATTGACACTTGTTATTTTCTCTTTTTTCATGGTAATCATCCTAATGGGTGTAAGGTGGTATCTCACTGTAGGTTTTGATTTGCATTTCCCTAATTATTAGCAATGTTGAACATCTCCTCATGTGCTTATTGGCCATTTGTATGTAATCTTTAGAGGGATATCTACCCACGATCGGTGCCCACTTTTGATTTGGGTTGTTGTTGTTGTTGAGTCTTTTTTTTTTTTAGTTTTTTTTTAACGTTCATTCATTTTTTTGAGAGACAGAGACACAGTGTGAATGGGGGAGGGGCAGAGAGAAGGAGACACAGACTGTGAAGCAGGCTCCAGGCTCTGAGCTGTCAGCACAGAGCCCAAGGCAGGGCTTGAACCCACGAACCGTGGGATCATGACCTGAACTGAAGTCGGACGCTTAACCGACTGAGCCATCCAGGCGCCCCTATTGTTGTTGAGTCTTAAGAGTACTCTGTATATTCTACGTATTAATCCTTTATTAGATATATGATACACAAATATTTTCTCCTATTTTGCAGATTTCCTGTTTACTCTGTTGATCCTTCTCTTTGAAGCACGGTTTTTTTTTTTTTCCCCAGGGCACTTTTAAGTGACTACGTTTACAGATAAATTTGGTCTGGGTAGAAGGATGAGATTGAGGATCTTTCTGAAAAAAGCATATTGAACCAGAGTCACTAGATTATGCTCTCTGTGGTCCTAAATTTTAAAATCAGCTGAATTTCCTCTCTTCTTATTCTCCCCACACTCAGTCAGTGGCTTCTGTGGGGCACAAACCTAAGTAAACGTCTCGTACAGATAGTAATGTGACTTGAGGTACTGAGGAGATGCTGAAGTCTTTCATAAGGAAGTGTTAGCTTTCTACTTGCAAACCTTGGGCTGCCTGTAGATGGTGCTAGAGCACCACATGTGCTGCCTCCCCAGAGGAGGGCTCCCAGCTGACAAGCTAAGGATGCTTTTCAAAAGAACATGTGGATTTACTGAAAGAACTTAAAAATAGACTTCCCTCAAATGTCTTGGGAGGGTCAGAGCAGAGATGAAGAACAAGAATCTTTCTACAAAAGGAGGAAGCTGCTAGCCGATGACTTCCAAGGCCAGTGGGGACTCAGACCTCTCAATGCTCCGGACTTGAGCTCCCCCATGTAAAATGGCCTGCCTCTCTGATTCCAGAATTCAGGGAGGGCTTTATATTCGGAGGGTTAACAATCCAACTCCATGTGGAAACCTGCTTTAAGAAAATTAAAAGGAACTGGATTGCTTTTTCCATGGACATTTCCAACTTTGTTAAATACTGATCATGCTTCTTCAGTGGGATCAGCACCTTTGCCTGTTACAGAGGTGGGATTTGCTTTTATGCTTAACTTCAAATACATCCCTAAAATTATAAAAGCCACTTGGACAACTGTCCTTCCATTTTCATTGTTTTATTTTTTTTGAGAAAGATCTTATTTTTTAAGTAATCTGTACACCCAACGTGGGGCTCAAACTCATGACCCCAAGATCAAGACTCGCATGTTCTCAAACTGAGCCAGCCAGGCACCCCTATCCTTCCATTTTTAAACTCAGTGCCAATGACTTAATATAGGTGTTTTTCATCTGTCACCCAGATGGAAAAGACTTCCGTGTGGCCTCTCTGCTTTTACCCTTGGGTCCTCTAATTCACTCTCTGACAGGGATCTTTCTAAAATCTGCGTCTGGCTAGGTCCTACCGCTGCCTGAAGTTCAGTATCCCCAGTCTGCCCATAGGATGAGGTTTCCATCACGGCCTCAAAGCTCCTTATGAGATGACCCCCTCCACATCCCCCTCTCGCCTATTGTACTTCCTGCCACTCTCCATCTCACACTTTGTATTTCAGAATTCTATGTTGTTTATGGTTATCTAAATATAGCAAGCTGTTCCCACCTTTATAACTTTGCACATGTTATTCCCTCCACTGAGAATGTCCTTTCCTGTCTTGGTCTGTGAGACCATTTCTTTCAAGCATTAAAGACAGTGTAGACTTTGTCTCCTCTCAAAAGCTTTCTCTCACCCCTACAGGGTCACATTCCTTTCTTCCTTGGATTACTTTGTCACCTGGTAATACTTCTATTGTAGAACCTCTCCTTTCGTTCTGAAATGATCTATGTGCACACAGAAGATTATGTCTTATTCCCCTCTAAACCCTGGCCACAGGCAAATTAGCATAATGTGCTGCCTATAGCAGGAGCTCAGTAAAGTAGTATTTTGTGAATTGGGGTTAAAATACTGACCAAGGTCATGTTGTAGTCCCCAATGCCAAGAGATGCAAAGGGTGGAAGGACAGACAGATGCTACTGTGTCCTTTAATGGAAGATGTAAGAGATCCCCCATTTTAGAACAAAAGACCAGACTTGCAGCTAATGACATAGGGAAAAGATTAGTGGTCTGAGAGTTCAGAAGTCTGTATTTGACCCACTGGTCTGGCCCTACCTTGCTCTGTGACTTTAGGTAACAAAGTAATTTCACCTCTTTGGGACTCAGTTGTGTCAACTATTAAATGAAAGAAATGGATTAGAAGCCCCCAAGGTTTATTCTAGCTCTCCAGTTACTTATCCTTGTATGGCCTCATTCCTCAGTATTGTGCATATAAAAAATACAAACTTACCTTTTATCCTCAAGTCTGGGAAACACGACTTTCCCAACTTTGCTCATTCTAGACATTGCCTCCTGTCAAATGGAAAAAAAAGAGCTGAGTTGGCAAGCTAAAATCAAAGTGATTTGTCATGTGCAAGAACATTCTAATTAGATACCACTCCCCCTTAGGATATTCAGTTGGTCCATTTTTTTTTTTCCAACTTCTCTTTGGTGGTGAGAATAAAACCCAATGAACATTAAAAGTTAAATCTATGACCAAACAGACTGGGCTTAATAAATGACTGAGTACTGAAGGCTTCTGGGCATAACCAACCCCAAAAGGCAAAGCACCTTTAAGACCACCTGTAGAGAGCAGGAAATTATTTTCCCTTCTCATTACCTGGAGAGGAGGGCTTAAGAAGGCAATATAATTAGCGACTAAGTACATTGTTTACTTAAACTCAAGATAACAATAACTGAATGGAACCCACTTTGCACCTGCTCTTCAGGATAACATGTTTAAGACTTCTTCAGTTCAGGGACGCCTGGGTGGCTCAGTAGGTTAACCGTCTGACTCTTGATTTTAGCTCAGGTCATGCTCTCACGGTTCATGGGTTCGAGCCCCATGTCGGGCTCCACACTGGCAGTATGAACCCTGCTTGGGATTCTCTCTCTCTGCCCCTCCCCTGCTCTCTCTTTCTCTCTCAAAATAAATAAATGACTAAAAAAAACAAAAAAAAAGACCTCTTCAGTTCATTGTCAGCTCTTTTTTCCAGCACTCCTTAACACTGTGAGCACAGATGTGAGGCCTGTGGGCTGAGTCTAATTTACTTGAACTCTGGAATATGATTTCAGGACATTCTTGTCTTTACAATGGGGCAACTGGGCAGACGGTGAATTGCAGTGGGTAGGTGGACGTGGCTGATATGTGCAGCATCAAGATCAACCACGGCTTGTGTGGGCTCCATTATAGGAATGAGAGGGTTAGGTTTCCTTGGGCAGTCTCCCAACGCTGGTAAGGTGATGGAAAAGTTAGGGGGAATGGAATGAACCCAAACTCTGGAGTCCAACAGACTCGACCAGGGAGACGGCAGGCAATGGCATGACACATCTCCTCAAATAGTCCTGCCTTAGGAACAGTTATGGAACTCTTATTGTTGAGGATATAGTGATTCTGGGGTAACGTACGTACAACTTCTTATTCCACATATCTATTAATTACTCACTATGTACCAGGCATTGTGCTAGATTTGCACGTGACATACCCTTTGTCCTGGGGAAACTTACATAGTAGCAGGGGAAGAAATAATTTATATATTATTTCTATGCATTTATTTACATTTATATAAATTATTGTATTATATATTTTATTTACCACTGATTCGTTTCTGGTATGCCATGTACTTACCACTTTATGTACACCTTATCTTCCCTCCCACTCCTTGCCCTAACCAGAATGCAAGCCACATGAGGCCAGAAGCTCTGTCTACTTACTGCTTACTCAGCACCTAGAATATTCATAAAATAAACCAAGCCCCTTCTATGTACCAAGCGCAGCATTCAACATGCACAGGAAACAGATATGAAGATCGCATGGGCCTTTTAATCAAGGAGCTCACCAGAGAATGGAAGAGACATTTACTGCGATCAAAATAGAGTGTGATAAACACTTTGCTAGAAGTAGATAAACTTCTTCTCTGTAGTTATTTGAGGGTTAGGAAAGTTGATACTTTTTCATCTGCTAATCACTTACATATATGTCTTCTACCCTGGCTAGGATGCTCTACCAACTCTTCCCCAAGGATGACATGAACATTCTGAGAGTTATCTGGTTATCTAGATAAATCCTCAATGGATTTAAAAGGGCCGACTAGGAAATAAGAGATGCTGAGGTCAGCAAGCACAGTGATGACAAAAGAAAATGGCAGTCATAAGAAAGGGGGAGATTTTCTAAATTACGAAAAATTACTGAAAAGGAAACCATGATTAGAAGAACTTAAAAAGGACAATCTGGGGCCATTTTGTGGAGGGACAAACATTCAAACACATTTTAGTGAGACTGCTGCCATTCCACTCCACAAGGATATTTTAAGAGCTCCGCTCACTCCGTATTTTCCTTCATAGACTAAGTTCTGGTTCCTTTAAAGTAAGCCCCGTATCTTGTGAAGATGGCCTCAGCAATCTCCATTGCCAACTCTCTTGTTCTGTCCTCACTTCTTCTTTCAGAGTAGTGCTCTGCAGTCCTTCCAGAGTGGATTCTGCCTCCTCTTGCTCTTTGGAATCCTGAAAATGCCCTCAGGAAATACTCCTCTTGGTTGACCTCGAGCCTTGGACTTGAGAGGACATTCCAGAACTGCCTTCATGGGTGGGACCCAGGAAATTTGTATTATAAAGGGTGCTCCATAAATGTCCTTTCCTTTCCCAGGGAAACAGTTGTGTGGACAAATGGTACACACCAGGGCTTTCTTCCCTTCTTCACATTACCTTTGCCTGTTTTTAAAATAAATTAGTGAGGGGGGCGCCTGGGTGACTCAGTCGGTTAAGCATCCGGCTCCTGATTTCGGCTCAGGTCACAGTTTGTGAGATCAAGCCCCGCGTGGGCTCTGGGCCGACAGCGCAGAACTTGCTTGGGATTCTCTCTCTCCCTCTGTCTCTGCCCCTCTCCTGCTTGCGCACATGCACTCTCTCTCTTTCTCTTAAAACAAATAAGCTTCAAAAATAAAATAAAATTAATTAATTATTGAGAAACAAACACCAGCTGCAGAGAGCTCAGAGATCACCAGCTTAGAGATTTTAAAGGTTTAAAAAGAGGGGTTTCTTTAAAAAGTATAGATTTCAACATTAAACTTAGCTCAGGTATTGACTCCACTGAGGAGGTTTTTTCTGACTCATCCCTGTGGCCTACCTCCCACCTAGACTGAATTATTTGCTCCCACAGCAACTTGTGCTACCATCTATCATAGCACTTATGACATGGCACCACAATTTTTTGTTAGCACACCAGCCTCCCTGACTAGACTCTGAGCTCCTTAAGACAGGAACTGTTATAATTATTCCCACCACCAGACTCAGCATCTGGTGTATCGTGCACTCAGGGAATGTCTATGGGATGAATGAACTTAAGGGTCATACACGTGACAGAATGCTCAAATGGAAGTTTTGGCTGAGATCTAAAGTTGACAGATATAAGATACCAAAGTGAGCTGGAAACAGACCACCCTGAAGAATTGGTGGGAAAAAGGAAAAAAAAAAAAAAAAAGGTGGTTGAGGACCCATTAATCAACTCTTAGAACTTTCATCCACATGGAAGGGCAGAGAGTTTTAGGACTGAATCGTTGGATTATTGTGTATGAGGCCTACTTCCAGGGGAGGGGTGAGAGGAGTCCCCCCTTCAGAAGTCAAGAGAGCAGGGCTTCAATGAGAACAACAGGGAACCTGATATGTGTCCCTGAGGTTGTGGGACACAGGGGACGGAGTGAGATGCCCGTCTGGAAGAGGAGGGCTGGTGGGCAGCATCAGTGTAGAAGTGAAGGAGCCAGCACTGGAATCAGCCAGCACTTCCAGAGTCTGTCAGACTCCAAAAGGCATGGCTGGTTCCCATGAACCCTAGGTGGCCCACGTGTGAGAAAGCGGTCATGGATTGTTTCATATCCTGTCCAATGAGGCAGAGCGGGTCTGCATAAAGAAGCTTCAGATGACCCTGCTGGATGTCTAAGGAATGAAGAGTAAACAGTCTATTTGAAGAGTAGCATTAACAAGGACAAGATATTATACGTGAGAAGTTTCCAAAAGTGGGGGATCTCCAAAAAATCTCTACGATGGGAGTGCCTGGGTGGCTCAGTCTATTAGGCGTCCAACTTAGGCTCAGGACATGATCTCACGGGTTGTGAGTTCAAGCCCCCAATCTGTGCTGACAGCACAGAGCCAGCTTTGGATCCTCTGTCCTCCCCTTTCTCTGCCCTTCCCCCACTCGAGCTCTCTCAAAAACAAACATTAAAAAAAATTGAAAAAAAAAAAAATCTCTGATGGAGCCTAGCTACAAACACCTAGTAGGCTAAGGGAGCTGATCACATGAGAACTTTCTACACCCCTGACTTCTCTTCCCTTCCACCCTCTAACTAGGAACAAGAGGAAAAACAAATACGCAGGAGAGGGAATGAGGAAGAGAGAACACTGATCACAGTTATGTCCTGTCATGTGCAGCAGACCCTTGCTGGGGAGTGGGGAGATGTCTTATCTTGGGATAAAAACTCATGTAATGATTATTATATATTCCTTGATATTCTAATTTCTGAATCTGGGCTATGTCTCACAACTTAAGGAGACCATAAAACTTGTATTACCCAAGGCTGGCTGTGTACTTATCTAAGAAAGCAACGGAACTACCAGGGCAGAGAAAAAACTAGCCCCACTGCACAAGTGTTAGGGGGCAGTGGGAGTGAAAAAGATCGTCGTTTCTCATTTCTGTCTCAAGAATCACGTTTGTCCTAAACACGAGTTAGATACGCACAATAAACAGTGGGTGAAAATATATTAGAACCTTAACAGGTTCATGAGCATGGGTGGTAATTTTTTTTCTCTTTTCTAATTTTTCTACAGTGACATCTGTGGATTTGATCATTTAAGGATAAAAAAATACTGCATTCTAAAAAAAAAAAAAAAGTTATGCTTACATAGGCACTCAAAACGACTTGTGCTCCTCTCCCCTGTCTCCTGGGAGGCAGGCCTCATTACGGGTATTGGACCCAATATGGAGAATGCCCAGAGAATCACTGTTGTCATCAGAAACAGCACTGCTGGCTTTTCTAATTTCTCCAAATAACTAACATTAAGCCAAAACCTCAAGAACCCACTGGCTGCAGTAGATCTGGAAATTACCACAGCATAACAATATGAATTTATTATGGGAATGCTGACACGTGCTAAATATAGTCACCCCCCCCCCAATATATTTCTGTTCAAAAGGGTTTGTTTGAAGTTGGCCTCAAAATTCATACTTCTTGTCGGCAGGCAGGAGCTGGACAATCTTAATTTGCAGCACGCTACCCTCTTTGTTTGAGAGTCTAGACAGCACAATGAATGCAGTGACTTTT